TTGTTCAAATTATGACCCATGGGGTAAGGTGCAGATACAATAGTGAATCAAAGTTAAATTAAGTACTAATAATATGAAGAAAAAATCCTATAAAAACTATGATTATTTGTGCATGCAACCATCCTGTGTTTTGCGAAACATGATACACGGGGTTTGGTGGGCTTTAATAGGGCGAGGCCATCGTGAATTATCTTAAATTAACATAATCTATTAATATACTGTGAAAAATCTGCTGATAAAGAACAGAGGGGTCATAGTTTCTCAGGTGAGCGTTATGGATCCGTGGGCCTTCTGTTAATATGTGGTGTTCCTGAATTAAAACCATAGACACAAGTCTCGGTTAATTGGTTGAAAGTATTAACTCTGAATGTTTTTAGTTCTGTCCTTAATTACTTCCCTGCAGTTCACATGGAGATAACAAATTTTTAGCATAAAAGTCCATTGATACATGTACATGTACAATTAAAATCGAGTGCATAGCAATAAAGGGCCTTTATAAACTTCAGGGATGGACTTAATTGTTATGGAAGAGTCAGCATCTCCGGTCGACCTTGTCCTAGATTGAGTGTAATGTGACTTTAAAATATGTTATATCTCAAAAATGTCTCACAAAGTGTACCAAATTGTGAAGTCACTATCAATTTTCCTATTCATTTTAATCTGTTCTAAGAAGTATATGGAGATAACGAAAATTATATATCGTATATTCAATCTCAAAGTCCATAAAACAATACAAAATAGGAGCAGAGCAAACACGGACCTCTGAAACATCAGAGGTGGGATCAGGTGTAATGGAGGAGTGGGCATCCCCTGCTGACCGGTCACACCCGCCATGTGCTCCTTGTCATGATCAGGAAATAACGGGAAAATCCGTCTTCAATTCAGTGTATAAATAATGGACTAACAATTAGTATGAAAAACGTTGACCATAAAACTTACGAAATGATGACTTTAAATGATGATATTCTTGTCAATAATTTACCTCCTTTTAGAAATTGTTCATACGTAGAGCATGCTCTTGAGTATCGAACTGAGATATATATATATACTCCGTATGCAGGTGATGAAGGTATATTGCTGCATAAGTAAAGGAAGTTGACGATAGAAAAGTTAAAGTCATCACGTTTATCATATAGCTTGGTTGTTAGATTAGCATTAACGTCTTTTTAAGTAAAATAGCCAAGTATGAAACAGATGTGTCAGACTCTGTGATATATTTTATCTCAAGCTCACCAAGATATATTGTATTGACGTAGGAATGGAAATTACCATTGTTAATTGATATATCTAAATGTCGAGTTGAAGGCCACAGCAAGTGTTTTCGTTTCACTCATAAGATTTTGCACAAATTCTGCTTCATATGAATACAAAAATAGGTCTGCTAATAACGGAGCGCAATTCGTACCCAGTGGAATTCCAATAGATTGTTGGAATGCCTGGTCTCCTAAAACCGCATAGATATTGTCAATCAGAAACTCAAGCATCTCTTTGATGTCAACTTCAGAGTACTTGTGTGTGCAATCAGAGTGTGTTTAAACAAAATTATTTTGCAAATGACCAATGATGAGATAAGTAAATTTACGAGTTCCGTTCTTATCAAAAAAGTAGCTGTCAATGATACCAAAAAGTCTGGACTTTAATTCATCGTTTGGAATGGTTGTGTATAAAGTTGAAAAGTTTTTTAGCTGTTGATTTTGGTAAAATCTTGTGATTTCAAATTGCAATAGTTATAGCTTCCTTTATGTCATAATTTTTATTCCATAAATTTTTTCTCCAAATACTTCTGCTATTACTTCTTTACTTTGGTAAAATAAAGAGGAAACATTACAAGATTGACCACCAAGATGGCGTTAAAGGCCTAGTTAGGGAAAATTACTCGTCACGAAAATACGTCATATTACTATTATACGTTGTATTTTCCGACTAGGTCATAGAACGTAATAAGTGTTGTTTTAAAACTAGATTGTTCCTCAACCTATTTGCAATTGCTTGCCTCTTTTTAAAACATTTTCGTACGTAACATGTAATGAATATTTTACTTGATCATAAAATTAAAAAAAAAATTAAAACTGGCAAATACTTTTATAGGATTTGTTAAAACATATTAAAATATAGCATTTTGAGTCTGCTTTCATTGTATGGTGAAGCATGGTCTCAAAACCCTAGCTATGATGGATATAGCCCTTTGTGCAATTCTAATATTCTAATATTATTATGAGATAATGTTTTTATCTTCTCGATCTCTATTTGATTATATCGAAAATAAAATGAAAGAGGCTTCCCTTTACATTTGCAAGCAAGGAACGTATTTGTTGATTGCTGAACAATATATTATATATTTAGATTAAATAATTAACCTTTGTTTTTCAGAACAATGTCACAATCAATAATAGATACCTTGAAGTTGTCTTTTCTAACACATCTTTCAGATGATTTTTTAAGTTGATTACAAAGAAACCAATGAAAAAAATGCAGAAAAGATAAACACCCATACATGTTCCAATCAGAACGCGTTGTAGGTAAGGAGAACACTTAAATATACATGCTCTGTTTACGATTCAGTAGACTCCATAAACACTGCAAATTACAATGAAGGCGTATGAGGTATGTGAGTTTTACATTAAATACATGTATATCTATTTTTTTTCGAAGATCAAGTTCTAATGCATTTTAATTGCATTTTGCTTGTTTGCTTCGTTACAACGCACCTTGAAAAAATAAGCACTTTGAAATAAATTTTCATAGGGCGTTAAATTTGGGACCAAGCTAAATCACTTTGAAAAAATGAAATTTTGTTTCAAAGTGTGTCAATGTCGACCATATTAACGCACTTTTAGAAAAAATGTGTATAGCTTGATCGTATATTCTTACAATTTTTTGGTATGATAAATGATTGAATATATCTTTTTGGTGATAAGGTCATTCAGGTCCTGAGATATTGACGTTTTAAATATTTTAGGTTTCTATAAATGTTATAAAAGGGAAATTCGAAAAAGATGGTGGGTTGTTTGTTCGATATCATTATTTCGTTTCTTTTAAAAAATTCTAATCCGTAATAAGTTCGGTAGATGGAAGAGTGGAAGAGGAGGGGGGCCAAAAGTGAACAACTTTTAAAAAGCATCACATTTTTCTTAAGAAAAAGGGGCGATTATATGTAGATTTTTCAATACTTTGAAAATTCATTCTCTCGCATATACGTTTTATTGAGCTTAAATGTTTTTAGTTTTCATCTGCTTTAACTTAATTCATTTATTGAACGTTTTAACATCATAACAGTTATGTAAATAGATATACATGTTTTGGAGATAGCACAAGCATCAAAACCAGGCGAAGGGCAAGGGGAGGGGGAGATAGTCCCCACTTTCTTTATGTAATGATATGCATAATATAGGGATTGAAAATGCGCTTACCCTTTTTGAGTTAACCCCCTCCTCCGTTTAATTTCTGGAAAGATAAAGTGTTTGGACTGAGAGACCTTCTACTCGTCTTTTCTTCTTCTCCATGGGAGTAAATAAATTAATTCATGTTTTTCGAAAGATAAATAACAAATCAATGCAATCCGGCCATTAATAAAATTCAGAACTTTTGTTTTTATACATTTCTTTTTCAAAGTGCGTTTAGTGTCTCAATGGTTAAATATGTAGATGTAAATTCAAACTTTTTTCAAAGTGCGTTGCCACATTGCTTTTACATCCATTCGAGAATATCATTTACACATGGAGCGCCTTCGGATGCCATGGCTATAAATTTTAACCTGCATTCTGCACTTTAGTCATTTAACATTAATTGGAGGGTCTTTTTCAAGCTAATACCTACACTTCGGGATCTCAATTTATACAAATATCATCTGAGGAACCTGAAATAAAGTCTTGTGTGGCAACGCACTTTGAAAAATGGATTTCAAGTCCTTTAAAATTACAACAAAATCAACGCTCTTTAAAACATTTTCAAAGTGCGTTAAATTTTGGACAAAAACAAAACACTTGAAAACAAGATGTGTTGTGAAACACTGATGCCCCCGTATGGCAACATAGCAAAGATTAAACTTTTCTTAAATGCAAATTTAATTAATTGGTACCAAAAGTAGGGTATTCTCATTGGAAAACAATTGTGAAATTTGAAAGTAAGCCAATGTTAAAGTTTTTTTCAATAAGTACAAAAATCTCCAAGGTTAAGGTCAAAAGGTCAATGTAATTGGTATGAAATGAAATATGAAAGCCCTATCCCTTACCGTTCAAAAGTTATGGCCAAGGTTAAAGTTTTTTCACAAGTACGGAGATCTACAACGTCAAGGTCAAAGGGTCAAGGTTTTTGGTATCCAATGAAAGGTCTTTCAACAAAGATTACATATGTGAAGTATAAATGTCCTGGTATATACTGTTCAAAAGATATGACCAAAGTAAAAGTTTAAAATTTTCATGTAAAAGTAGGTCAAACTCCAAGGTCAAGGTCAAAAGGTAAATTTGGTGGTACCTAAAGAAAGGTCTTGTCACAAGGAATACACATGTGAAATATGAAAGTCATAACCCCACTAAATCAAAAGTTATAGGCAAGGTTAAAGTTTTTGCGGACAAACAGACAAACAGACAAACAGAGAGACAGACGGACACGACAAAAACTATATATCCCCGAAACTTCGTTTACGGGGGCATAAAAATTCAATGGTGCATTAAAAGTTTACAATCTTTACATGAACGTTTTACCAAGGATACACTTAACGCACTTTTAAAAAAGTAATAAAACAAAATTCTGGACATACATTACAGCAACGGATATTACATTATTTCGTTATATTTCATTCGAAAAACTTCCATGAATTGATCTACCTTCAACGAGAGTGCAGGGTTGTATAATATTTAGATTTAAACATATGGTACAAATTTTGTTTTGTTGTAAAAATCATATCAAAGGTTATATCGATTTGATAGGTTGACTTACGTCTGTTCTCAGTTTATGGTCTTGCGACCTGATCGTTCAGACTGTTAAATGCCAGTATAAATAGATTTTTACTGTTTTTCAATTTCAGTTTTTTCTTTTCCTTTTTATGATATACACCGATATCGATGTTAATTATGGAATTGTATTAGACGATTCATCTGAAACGCAATGTGGTCGAGGTATGTTATTTAATTTGTGTTTAGGAGAGGGGTAAGAGAGCGAGATTATAAAAACTATCTCTGATAAAGCGAAAGGCTAGGTTTCCAGATAATAATTTCGAAATGTGGGGAGGAAAAAAAAGAAAAAAATTTTACTCTCTTTGACATGGTGGGATTTGAAGGGGATTGCAGGGTTCCAAAGATTTAACAAAATATCATACATTACCCTTTTGTCCCATACTGAATAAAATTTACATTTATATAATTGCATATATTATCATAAAAAATTTTTTTTATTGTTTCAGAACACGCAGGAACCCTTGGATCAGAGTTTCTTATTTTAATCATGCGTAATATCGCTCCTTCTAGTTCTATCTTCATAACGACTGAAAATTCAACGACAGTCAACATATCTACCTCTGAAAATCTGCAGAGCAACTTGAAATCCTCCATTGATCAAGAAACCTTTGTCAATTCTGCCGCAAATATTGTTCTTCCGCAAGAAATACAATGTAATTTTTTTCGAAAAGAACCTAAAGGAATTTTAGTCCGGTCCCAGGAACCAATAAATGTACTTGTATCAGACAACAACAATCCTCTTATTGAATTCAGAGTCGACACAACGACAGTTATACCAGTTGAGAAACTTGATACATCCTACATTATTTCCTCTTTTGATCCATCTACGAGCCATTTCGCAGTCGCAGCATCTGAAGATGACACAAATATTACAATATCCCTGAAAATTTCGAATAATGTAGCCATCTCAATCTTTGGGAGCACATACCGGGATATGGATACATTTGTACTTTCCTTGGATAGACTGGAAACTTTTCAATTTCGTGCTGGGGCAGATTTTTCTGGAACTCGAATTGATTCTAACAAGCCTGTTGCTGTCTATTCTGGTACTGTTTGTCTAACTGGAGGAGATGGAGGTTGTAGCCCTGCTCTTGAACAAATGCCGCCCATCAGTCGCCTAGATGATATTTTCATTGTACCACCTAAATTCAATGCAAAAGTCATTAGACTGATGTCTCCAGAGAACGCAACAGTACAAATCTCTAAGGGAAACGCCACCCAGAGTCGGGAGATATACCAGAGTGTGCCATTTGATATCCCTATTGTTGATGATGAATGCATAGTCATTGAGAGTGAAAGTTCCATTTTAGTTACAATGGTAGCATTTGAATTGACTCCAGGTCCCTTTATTGCGACTGTTCCAGGAATCAACCAATATCTAACAAGATATAAAGTCTTTGTGGCCGAGGGATACCCGATAAGTTTCGTCGCCATTATGATAGAGACGGAAGCTAAGAATTGTCTTGTATTGAACAACCAACCAATTATGACCAATGCAATATTCCATGAAAAACAAGTACTCGTTGGATGTATTTCATATACCCTGATGATTGTTGAGTTTAAAGACGGTGAGCTGATTGTCGAGTCGGAGAAAACTCCCTTTGGATTAATGGTGTATGGTCAGAACACGTTTGACGGACATGGCTTTGCTGGAAATGTCATCTCAAGTTTACTTTGCTAGGCAAGTCAATTAAAGTGGATGAAATACTTTTTCTCACATTTTTGAATGAATACTCTCAAATAAAATAAATGTATACCTATTACCTTTCTTTTACATCATTCATGCAATTTTAAAAAAAAACAAACACTAATATAAACACATAGATATATTTGCAAATTAAATACGTTTCAATTCGATAGGAAAGGGAAAGACAAGAAACATTTGCAAGTTCATAGAAATAACACCAAATATAGAGAGAGGGGGAGGAGAGATGGAGGGCGAGATAAACAATATAATAAATTATGTATCGTGTGAAGGATATGGAGATAACGAATAGTGTTCAAGATCAAAAGTCCAGAAAAATAGGAGCAGAGCAAATACGAACCTCCAATACATCAGAGGTGGGATCAGGTTCTATGGAGGAGTGAGCATACTGGTCACACCCGCTGTGTGCTCCATGTCATGATCGGGACATAACGGAAAAATCTTTCGTCAATTCAGTACATAAATAATGGACTTACAAGTATGAAAAAAGTCAATCAGCATTTGACTCAATGATAAATTGTATTTGCTGACAAGGTCGTTGTGTTGACCATAGAACTTACGAAAGTATGACTTTAAACGAGACTGTTGATGTTCTTGTTTCATCAACTTGTTAGTCAATTATTTACTTCGTTTTAGAAATTGTTCATACGTAGAGAATGCTCTTGCCTATCGAATCAACCTAGATATATAAACTCCATATGTACGTGATGAAGGTATAATGCTGCATAAGTAAGAGAAGATGACTACAGAAAAGTTAAAGTCATCACGTTCATCTTAAAGCTTTGTTGTTAGATTACCATTAACGTCTTTTTCAAGTAAAACATCCAAGTATGAAACAAATGTGTCAGACTCTGTGGTATACGGTATCTTTTATATCAAAATCACCAGGATATATTGTATCGACATAGGAATGGAAATTACCATGATTGTTAATTGACAACAAGTCGTTGATATATCTAAATGTGTTTCCTTCTTTTCACGCATAAGATTTTGCACAAATTCTGCTTCATAGGTCTGCTAATAACGGAGCGCAATTGGTAGCCATGGGAATTCCAATAGCTTTTGAAATGGCGTGTATTCGCGAGGCTTGCCGAGCGCATTTATACACTATAAAGCAACCACATGTATTAACACTGAATTAGAGATTTTCCATTTATCTCATACGGTTTATTTAATTTCGCTTTTAACAAAATTTCTAGATAACCTCTGTGAAACTATTAATGGTATTGAAAGAAAGTATTAAACATGGCATAATTAGCCTATCAGATCCATTTTAAGGAATACAAAGTTCTTATATAAGAAAAGTATGCATGTAATCTTCCTCTGGTTCTATCTGAGATTACAGTCAATACAAGGGGTCAATATTATTGTATGCGGGGCGAATTCAAATAACACAGCATAAATTCTTAAATAGAACAGTTACTGTTACTGGGCGAATTTTAAATTGGGCAAATTGTTAGCAAATGTATAAGGGCGAAAATAACCCTGTATACAGTATTTTTAATAACGATGATTATTCTTGATTTACTGGGTTACTTTTCCCCCGGGGATCTAATTTTTTATATAGAAAGGGATACAAGCCAAGGTTCTTCCTTTGAATTTGATTAGGCTGACTGGGCACCTTGCACTGTGTACCACAACCAAGTTCTGAGGATACAATAGGTGTCTCACCCTGATTCACGATTACTGCATGAACCTCGCTCAACCCCTTACTTACTCTACACAAGTGCTTTTTCTTCAACCCCAAGTAACCTACTTTAACTTTTCTAATTAGTGTAACTTTAGTTATAACCTTTTCTTTTGAGACTTCTTCTCGGTGAAGACCTCTGACTTTAGAATGCCTGAAGCTGCCTCTGCAGCGTTTACGAGTACAGAAAAGGGTTATGACAGTCAAAGAGGGGTGAACAGCTAGGTCCCTAAACTACACCATTAGTCTTGGTCACACAAGTGTTTGAAAGGTATTGGCCCATTGATTTAAAGGGACTGGGTGGTTGTTACCATTTTCAGACTGTATTGATCTCCTTTAGAAGGAGAGCTTCATAAAAAACAGATTTTTTGGTGCTTATAGAGAATGCATGTTAAACTGTATAATAAATGAGATCACTTCAGATTTTTGCTTGTCTGAGCTTTCTAAGTTATTTCTTGATTTTGTGTACGACCGTTCTTAAAACCAAGACAGGGCTACTCAGAAACAAGTTAATGTTACGAGAATTTTAACAATCTTGTTTAAAATTTTTCATAAATTTTATTTACTGAAAACTACTATTAAGGTGAAATATGAAGGATGAAAATACTGGTGAAAGTTATGTATTCCAAATACGTTGAAGTGCAAGTTTGTTTGTTTTTTCAAGAGCATTTTCATTCAGATAAGGTGTTCATTTATTTTACTGGAACCTCTTCCCCAACCTTTACCAGGGATATTTGTCCTTCCTTTTGAAAAATGTTCAATACATTTTCCCCTTGATTCAAAAATTTAAGTATTTTAACTTTGAATTGTAAGTAACATTCGTACATCATCATTTACATTTGCAAATCTCAATTACTTTCTGTCTAAATGCGACATCAAAGTATCCATAAATGAAAGGATCGGCACTGAACTTCAATATAAACATGTCTTGAAGTATATGAATAACATTAATGTCAACTCCCCCTTCAACGCCAAACCAAAGTGAGTGGTCAAAATGGCTGATTACTAACATGGTCGTTGTTGGAATGGATACTAGAACATACAAACAAAACATAGTCAAAAACATCCTGTAGAAATTGACATGGATAGGTTTTTTTACTCTTCTCTCGGCATGATCTGTTGTAGGTTCTGATTGAATAAAAGAGGCTTCAGCCTCTATTTCGTTTCGATCAGCCGCTATCATTGATTGGCCATTTTTGCTTCTCTCTCGCCGCCGTGCAGATAATCTCATAAGAACTTTGCCAATCTTTCTGTACAGAAGGCAACTGCAAATAAAAAATGTTCCCAATAAAACTGAAATTGCAGCTGTTTGCAGGACTCCGATTTCCGGATAGTGTTCCGTTCGAATCCAGCAATACGTCCCCGATATATTTAGGTGGGTTCCATGCGGTCCGGTACCAGAGGAATAGAAACATGGAATTCCCATTAATAAGGAGGTGACAATGGATGCCAGAATTGCTATTCTTTTGTGTTTATCTGTCATCCTTCTGCTATACGGCTTACACAGTTTCAAATAACGTTGAACCGCTATTATCACTATTAAGCCTGCGGATTCTACCACAAAAGACACGGTTAGAAAAAAGAATGTTTTACACATGATATCCGAGGGATAGTTCAAGTTAAAAAATATCAGGGTAAAAAAGAAAACAGTTGTTCCACATGAAGCCACCAAGTTAACTCCAGATAAAAATGTAATAAAATATCGGTTGTCATTTCTTGGCATTTTGAACAGGTGAATGTACAGCACAAGCACATTGCCAGTAGTTCCCGTAAGAAAATACAAGCCTAATAGCACTCCTGTAGGAATGAGTTTATGTCTGAAGTAGGAATTCCAATATTCCATATCTTCCAGACTGTGTGTTTTGTTTTCCATGGTGGATAAATCCATAACTTCGTTTTTCGTGACTTTATTTAAAATGTTTACCTACTGGTGAAAGGAAATATACAACCAGGAAAAACTAAATATCAAATTCATCCTGTATTTTCATTATTTCATATCATGTCATTGATTATTTTTACAAAAGGAAATCTTTCGGAGTTCCTCCAATCATATATTGTCTTTTTCAGACCTTCAAAACATTTCAGATAGTATTTATTCATTGCTTACAGATAAAATTTGGATTGCAATTCATGCATGTTTGTTTTGGAATATATACATTTTTTTAAGTTACACATGTAAATAAAGATTATCAGTCATAATTTTGAGTTTATGAAAATATGAAACCTACCATACAAGAAATTCAAGGTTCATGTAAATCTATATTAAAACTGATTTTCAAAAGAGTTGGGAACGGACAATTAACTCTTTCGGTGCTGCTTTTTTAAAATTTCCTTTTCCTAAAAGGTATTTATTTTCTTGGTTTAGAAGGGAAATATATTTTTGTGGCCGAAATTGTCTCTATCGGAATATGTGGTCATAAACTATGAATAACGGGGATAGGATCTTTAAAACTGTACAATATGTTCAATCAGTGAAGTGAATGGATTAAAAATTAATTTTCCTATCAAATACGCCAAAACATTCTTTTCAAAACATTGTCCTTTCTGACATATTTTATTTTTCAAATAAAATCTACATTACGACTTTAAAGTCGTAAAGTCGTCATGTTGCAGATTTTATTTGAAAAATAAAATATGTCAGAAAGGGCAATATGTTAAACCGTATCTAAAAGAAACGAAATTTCTGCGACACAGTCTCCATCTTGATCCTGATTATCTGCATGTAAACAATTTCAGTATCAGAAAACAGGTATTTGCGAAAAGGGAGTGGATTTCCTTATGGTTACGTTTGCAGTGTGAATATTTCCTTAAACGCCTTTATCATCAGAAAACCCTTCCTTTATATATATAGAATAACTTCCCCGAATATTATCATTAATATTCCCGCCTATATACCCGCTCGGTCGTATAGATCAATGATCGGAAAGGGCTGACAGTGTGTTCCTCGAATGCATTTAAGCGTAAAATATAAAACATATTGATTATCAATACAGGTTAAATTGTATGATGAAATTGTGATGTCTTAACTGGTTTCAAAATGTCTCAAAATATCTTTGATATCAGAAAATCAAGTTATTTCTGATAGGGTTGTATACAAGATGTATCATCCTCTGGAAACTTGCACAAATGTCAGGTCATGCTCCTCCAACTTTTTGTGAGGAAACTTGTTCAAGCAACAACGGATTCTTAGAGGAAGATTATATCTCAAGGAAAAAAAGTTTTATGAAGGTACCAGTCATCAGAACTTAATATAAATCTAATCGTTGATTCATATACAGAGCACAGGGGCTGGTTCCCGGCCACTTATTTGTCTTCTTTAAATTTCAC